AAAGTTTGAACTTTGTTGTCTTTAAAGCATTTGACTGTCAAACACACACAGTCAGTGTTTGTATCAAGCAGAGTTTCACATAAAGAACACACTCAGATAATGACCCGTTAGATCGCTCCGTCCATTCCCAGTATTGATCGCTGTATTGATCGGCTGCAGGCGGCCGATCGTCTCCATGCAGAAACACACTCCACTTACTGCTGATTACCTCACACACACACACACACACACACACACACACACACTACTAGCTTGGTAACTTGTGAGGTCCTGATCTAATCCCAGTCACTTAACATTTAGCATCTGCAGGTACAGAGTCCCAGTTTGACATCATTTTACTGATAATATACACTTCAAGATATGAAATCAGTCCAGTGTGTCTGTTTGACAACTGAATGTATCTGGAAAAATACATTTCTGCCTCCAGTCTGTTCCTTAAAGTTCTGCAGGTGGGACCGTGCTGTAAAACTCTGGTAGAACCCTGTCTAAATGTAGACTGAGAGGGTAGATGTAGGGTTCGGGTTAGCATGGTCAGAGCTGTGCGTATATTTGCGCACATTTCTAAGTAGAAGTTGGTAAATTCCATATTTTGCGTAGGAATGTTCGTACACACTGATGATAAATGAGGCCTGAATCTATCCCCAGAACCCTTAGAATCACTCTGAATCCTCCTCGGTGTTATGTGAAGTAAAGTTCTTAAATGGTTCTTCAACCATCACCACCAGATGAAGAACCCCGTTGTTTAGGGGAGGGTTCTTTACTTTATGTTGTTCTTTAAATGTTCTTCATGTTTATTGGAGTTCCTTGGTTTGGTGGAGCTGAACATTGTTTTATTGCAAATGAGTCTTCGGTCGATGAAACATCAGGAAACAGAGACACAGTTCACAAATCCTAAACTGGCATCTTAGAACATGTTGTTCTGTCTGCTAACAGCCCTGAACCCAAAATATCGAATGTGTTCTAATAGAAAAAACCCAGAAATGCCATCGATTCTTACAGTTGACTGTCATTGTCAAGTTTAATCAGAAAATTGAACAAAAGATGGAAAAAGAAAAAGTTTCAAAGGAAAGTTTGCCACTGCCCACCCGACCGGGATGCAGCTGGCACTAAAACAAGCGCGCCTGCCCCTCCTCCACCTGCTCACCCTATAATTCCACTCACCTGTGACTCCCTTTGTTCATTCCGGCCAAGGACCTTCAGCTCAGCGCTTCAACCAAAGACACCACTGGTAGGAGGAACATTATGGACGATGCTGCTGTGATGGTTCATCTGTCTGCTTTGCTGCTGTTGGCTTGATGGTGTTTGTTTGGTTTTCAGTTCCACTTGGTATTGAGCTGAAGTTGGTCAACTGGTCAGAGGTGTTTCATTTGATTTAAAAGTGACTCAGTGAAATATTGATTAAAACATTGGTTGAAGAAAACATTAGTTGATTAAAACTATAAAGATAAGTTAAAACTTGATTGTGAGCTCATAATAATTTGGTAAAAATGTTTAATGATGATCATATTCGGTTAATCATGTGGGTTCAGTATATTTAAAATGTTTGGCAAAATGTAAGTGAAAATAGTTCAGAATTGATGAAAAAAGTAATTCATTTTTGTCACTATCATTGTCTCAGTTATACTCTTGGTTTCATTGTCGGTTATCAACCAACTCATTGCTTTCAGAGTTGGAATAAAAAGTTGGAAATGAGTTGAGTTTTCCCAGCGTCCTTTTGTTTGAAGTCGGGCCTTTTCCAAGTTTGGGCAGGAGCTGAAGAGATTTTTAAAAAAAAAACTTGACAGTCATGCTTAAAATGATTTAAGTTCTGCTATCACAGTAGAACCAACCGAGTCCAACCTTTTGTTTTTTTTAAGGTTCCTTGTAGAACTAAAAATGGTTGTTCTATGGGTTCCTGTGAGGAACCGTCTTTGATTCTCATTAGCACCAATATGTTTTTGAGTTGCCCTGTGATAGACTGGTTACCTGTCCAGGTGAACCTGCCTTCACCCTGAGTCAGCTGGGATAGGCTCCGCCCCCCATGACCCTGGTGAGGATGAAGGTGGAGAGATGAAGGATGGATTTTTCTAAGTACAGATAGTCCCTAAAGACCCTTTTTTGCAGAAACTCTTTGAAGTGCTTTTGAATGCTTCTTTAGGCACCTGTGAGGGTTCTTTAAAGAACACGTGGAAGAACTTGTTCTGAGAGAACCTCTTGCTATAAGATTTGTGGGTCCACGGAGCTTAGTGGAGATTTGGGGACACAGAACATTTTAAAGAAGTAAACAACTGATGCAGCTGCTGGAATATTTTATTATAACACTTCATTGTTAATATCTTTTAAGGAGAGAAAAAGCGAACGCACTGAGAACAAGAACACAAACAGCAGTGGTCTGTCAATCACACAACGTTCCCTCAAAGCGCTGCAGATCAATACCGTTTGTCTGAATGTATAAATGTGGATCTATGAGGCCGATTCAATCCGACGGTCTCATCAGCCGGCAGCTGCTCAGACTGCATGATGACACATTAACCCGCTTTGTGTTTGTCTGTCTCTGTGAGGACCGATGTTTAAAGAAGCAGCTTCTGAACAGAGAAAAAGAAAGTGTCTGAAAAACAGTGTGAACACCAGGTCAGGCCTCGAAGCTTCACCACATAAAGTTGTATTCTAAAATATTCCAGCAGCTGCTTTGTTCAGAGCTCTGACCATGAACATGATTCATTCATCTTAATCTGTCTGGAAGGACAATGCTGAGGTTTGGACCACAGTGGAGTCTTGGTGTTGTTTTGAGTCTCTTTGTGTTTATTTTTATTGTTGACATTTTCCAGGTATTTGTTCTCAGGTCTAAATCACATGACTCCAGCTGTTAACTAACCCTAACCAGCCTGAGGAGGGAAGTCATGACTGCATTATTTGATATCAGAATAATCCTCACAGCAACAGCTTCCATCCACTTGTAAAGATCATGTTTATCGGGTCAGTCTTTCGTTTCCAGTGACTCCTAGAACTCAGAATTTCATTGATGGAACCACTGAAACATGAATCTTTTTCACAGAGGACAATCGTGTGTTTAGGTTCTTTTATAGATTTATTAAAGGTCTTCTGGAAACANCATGGAGACTCCACGCAGGAAGATCCCGGGTGTCCTCACCGGGACGCCAACCGGCGACCTTCTTGCTGCGAGGCAACAGTGCTACCAACTGCGCCACCTTGCAGCCCCCTGCAGTTTGTGACAAAGCCTAAACCTCCTCAAACTGTTGAACCCTTCAGACGTCTACAGGTGCAGCTGTGACATCACGCTCACCTGAAGGCGGCCACGCTGCCGTCAGTCCACTGGTACAGCTGCGGGCAGGAAGCGAAGGTGTTGCTGAGTTCAGTATGATCCACTGCGTCCACACGAGTCAGACCGATCCAGAAATCGCCATCAGCGATTCCTCCGCCGCCGCCTGTGACTCCGCCCACTGCACCTGAACGCAGCTCCTGAGGATGAGGAGGAGGAAGGTGAGAAGAGGAAAGAGATGAAGCAGAAGACCAGGTGTGTGTCTCACCTGCAGCAGGTTTTCGATGTCTGTCTGCTCCGTTGGACTCTCGATGCTCAGCAGCGACCCTTCGTCCATTTCGCAGGCCTGTCGCGCCTCCCGGAAGGCGACGCGACTCGACACGTCGTGGAAATATGCGATCTTGTAGCATGGACGCTCGGGACCGCCAACACACACCGTCTGACCTGCAGAGACAGAGCCCCGCCCACATCACTGACACAGGTCTTTTCTCACTGCATCATCGCTGTGCTGATGACATCATCACTGCATGAGTGACATCATCACTACGAGACTTCAGTTTGTTACCTGAACATACCGATAGCGCAACAACGACAGCGACAGAACAGATGACAGCACATGGAACTTAAAATATGTTGTTTGTTTAATAACTAAATTAGACTCGGTTCAACGTGACGTCGTCTCTCTGCAGCGAAGGGAAGCTTCTGACCGCAGCGCCTCACAGCAACAGGACGGAGTTCAGCTTAGAGCAGCGTGACCGCTGCTACAGACGCAACCGCCTCCATCGTCTCTCATAGTTCTGTCTGTCAGTCTGAAAACTCTGAACAAGACAGAGAATTAAAAGCAACAGCTGCACACACACACACACACACACACACACACACATTCTGTGGATTCTTTAGTAATAAAACGATGTTAGCAGTGAAATGTGCAGCACTAATGACTGAACACAAGATGCTGATGCAGTCAGTGATGGAACACTACAGGTGTGTGTGTGTGTGTGTGTGTGTGTGTGTGTGTGTGTGTGTGTGTGTGCAGCTGCAGCAGTGATTAATACAGCGTCTGGTTAAAACAGCCTCAGAGCTACTTTGGGTGATTAGCTGGATTCTCTTCTGCACCATCATCAGTTTACTGTTACAGCCTCTGAACACTGCTCCGTATATCTCCGCCTCCTCCGTCAGTCCGTCTGTCTCCGGTCGGCTTCTGTGACCGTCTTTGGCTGCCAGCGCTGCTTGTGTTTAACAAGGAGGCAGCAGCTGTTCAGTGAATCACTGCAGGATGAAGAAATTAATTGAAAATATCCTCTGTTTAATGGATCACGTTCAACGTCCAAACAGGAGGTTACAGATGAAACCATCGGCATGCTAAATGCCAAACCCTACCCCTTTACCTGGAGGTGCCACGGCAACCACCAAGCAACTAAGTCACCTTAGCAG